AAACCTGCCACCTTAGGTGTACGTGGCCGGCGCCTTAGCCACTTGAGCCACAGGCGCCGAGCCGAAAATTAAGATTTTATGTTATATATTACTTGTAACCAACATAGTATATATATTATAATTTTTTTTTTTTTTGAGACAGAGTCTTACTCTGTCACCCCTTCGGTAGAGTGCTGTGGTGTCACAGCTCACAGCAACCTCCAACTCTTGGGGTTAAGCGATTCTCTTGCCTCAGCCTCCCGAGTAGCTGGGACTACAGGTGCCCATCACAATGCCCAGCTATTTTTTGTTGCCATTGCCACTGCTGTTTTAGCTGGCCGGGGCTGGATTCATACTGGCCACTCTTGGTCTATGGGGCTAGCCTAGCACCATGCCCACTGAGCCACAGGCACCGCCCTACTCATTGTAATTTAATAATTACCATCTGTTAATTACTTAACTATATCTTAGGCCTTGTGCTAAGAGCCTTATTTTATTTTTTTGTTTAACTGGTTATTAATATATTTTTAAGCAAAACCACTTTGTTTTTTTCTCCTGGAGAACAAAAATATTCTAAACATACATTAGGTATTTTAAAAATATTTGAAGAATGTTGTTTTAAATTCTGCTCTTAGTTGTAAAATATAAATGAGTGTGAAGGACTTCAGGTTTACTGTATATCTCAATGCTGTACAGCAGTATATAGATGAACAATGACAGGCTTGCTTGAATAAGGGCACTAGGCAAAAGCATGCAGAAAGGAGGTGAGCTAGGTGAGAATAACATCAAAGAGTCAACAAGTTGCCTCAGGAGACTAAACCGCTAAGTGCTTTTCTAAAGGAAAAACAAATGAAGAAATGGGTAGACCCTGGGGTTCAACCTGGAGGGAGCTGATAGTAGAGGATGCAAATTTTGAGAAGCCAGTATATTCAGTGTAACTAACTGTATTAGTGGAAGTGAAAAGAGTACATTTGAAAATAGAAGAAAGTGAGTGACGCCTGTGGCTCAATGAGAAGGGTGCCGGCCCCATGTACTGAGGGTGGTGGGTTCAAACCCAGCCCTGGCCAAACTGCAACAAAAAATAGCTGGGCGTTGTGGCGGGCGCCTATAGTCCCAGCTACTGGGGAGGCTGAGGCAAGAGAATCACCTAAGCCCAAGAGCTGGAGGTT